TGATGGCGCTGGCGTTGCACAAATTACACTAGACACTAAGTGCTACTAGCGCCAAGTGGCAATTTTCAACAGATAATTTATCGATACTAGCGCCAAATTGGTCGAAAGTGGAAAATTTATAGAGAAAATCAGGAGATGCTAACACCACGTAACGGCGACGTTCCCACTTATTTTACACAAGTTTCTGACCGAACTTGAACGTCTGTTCTCTGTGACCGTACTCAACAGGTAGCGAACCATTTCTCAACAAAATAATCCTGAGGTGCGGAAAAGTCCCTAATATTTACTTCTTGAAAATTTCCTCAACATCTACGAAGTTTCATCAACTTCTTCCAAGTTCCATAATGCTTTTTTTCAAGTTCTTTCAATTCGACCAAGATCTCAGAATATCCACGACCTTCTCCAAACATCAGGAAAGACCTTTTCTAGGAGTTTTCTTAAACAGTTGAGGTAATTAAATTTCCAAAAATTTCCAAATCAAACCCTGAGGTTCTAAGAAGAATGCTGAATTTCTACAAAGAGGCCTCGAGTGAGGTGAGGTGACTCGCTGTCCCTAGTGAGGTGACAATAGTCACCGCGACTTTTGTCACCTCAGTAGTGACAGCGAGTCACCTTACCTCATTCGCGGCGCAGAAAAAGGGGAATACTCCCTGAGCTTCTGAGAAATTTCCTGAACTTCTATGAAGTTCACTGAACTTCTACAATTTTCTTAAAAAAAAATCCCAGCACCTATGAAGTTTTACGAAGTTCCTCGAACTGCTATGTAATTCGCTTGACTTCTACAAAGTTCTCAGGATGCCTATGAAGCACAGAGAACAGACGTTGAGGCTCGAACTAAAATCACAGAGAACATACATTGAGGCTCGAACAAAATTTCTCTAAAAACTTGTGTCAAGATTCCTATTTGACTTAAGCGCCACTAACGGCGACTTCCCCACTTAAAAACCCTCTTTGACAACATGATGGCGCTGGCGTTGCAAAACTTACACTAGACACTAAGTGCTGGTAGCGCCAAATGGCAATTTTCAACAGATAATTTATCGATACTAGCGCCCAATTGAAGAAGATGCTAGCGGTACGTAACGGCGACGTTTCCACTTAACTTTACACAAGCTTCTGATCGAACTTGGACGTCTGTTCTCTGTGCTAAAATTCTGTAAGATTCCTATTTGATTTAAGCGCCACCAACGCCGACTTCCCCACTTAAAATCCTCTTTGACAACATGATGGCGCTGGCGTTGCACAACTTAAGGCCCAAACGCAATGTGGGCGGAAGCGGAACAGAAACGGAAAGTTTGACAGTTGTCACAAATGACATCAAGATGTCTAACTGCCGTTCTGCTTCCGCTGTCATTGCGCATGGGCCTGTACACTAGACACTAAGTGCCGGTAGCGCCAAGTGGTAATTTTCAACAGAAAATTTATCGATACTAGCGCCAAATTGGTCGGAAGTGGAAAATTTATAAAGGAAATCGTGAAATGCTAGCGCTACGTAACGGCGACGTTCCCACTTATCTTTACACAAGTTTCTGGTGGAAGTTGAACCACAGAGAACAGACGTCCAACTTCGGTTAGAAACTTGTGTAAAATAAGTGGGAACATCGTCGTTACGTGGCGCTAGCATCTCCTAATTTCCTCTACAAATTTTCCACTTTCGACCAATTTGGCGCTAGTATCGATACATTTTCTGTTGAAAATTATCACTTGGCGCTACCAGCACTTAGTCTCTAGTGTAATTTGTGCAACGCCAGCGCCTTCAGGTTGTCAAAGAGAGTTTTTAAGTGGGAAATTCGCCGTTAGTAGCGCTTAAGTTGAATAGGAATCTTTACACAAGTTTTTACAGAAGTATTGTTCGAGCCTCAACGTCTGTTCTCTGTGGTTGAACGTCTGTTCTCTGTGTATGAAGTTTGCTGCACTATTACAAAGTTCCCTGATTTTTTTTACAATTTCGTTGATTTTCAGCGAAGTTCCTTGAAGTTAAATAAAGTTTCGTGGATTTTTATGGAATTTCCTGATATATTTTAATTCTTAAAAAGTTAAAAAGTTATTGTAAGAAGTTATTTTAAGCTAAAAGAAGAATTTTAAGAAGTTTCTTAAAATAAACCAGAGTTCCCATAACTTGCACGAAGCTTCCCAGACTTGTATAAGGTTCCAAATTCTACATAGTTTTCCCGAATTTGTATAAAGCACCTTAAATTTCTTTAAAATTCTCTACGAAGTTCCCTGAATTTATATTAAATTTACTGAATTTCTTTAATGTCCTATGAAATTAAAAAATAAATCTAATTTATGACGACGCTTGTTAGCTTAGTGGTTACCATTTTTGCTTATTGGGCAGAAGATCGTCCGGAAGTTCAATCCCAGGCCCATCCCCTTCTTTGCAATTTTTCACTATGCTTTATTCCCCACTAGATTTAAATAAAAACAGTCTGCTGCTTTTATTGAACGCATAACTCACCACAGTGTATCCTACTCACTAACATAACTATCCTTCCCGTGGCAATTGTGGAGTTGCAGAGGAAAACTCGGCATCTAGCAACAACTACTGTCGAACTAATCATCCACCCACTACCAAAAGACCGGGAGGACGTGGCTCGCGTCTGTACTGTTCTATAAATAGAATGCATCAGTGAACTTGTACATTGAAGATGGAAATCTTATCCCAAGCTCCCATCTATGTGGTTCTCTGTGCAATGTCACTAATTCTTATCAGTAACGAAGTAGCAGCTACGACGTGCACGGTCTTTAAAAAAACAAAGAAAATTAAAAAATCTTTTTTTTTCCTTGATTTCTTTTCCGTCGATCTTGTTTTCCGTGCTGAGCACCAATGCTACCGACGCCAGGGAGGCAGCTCCCACACCTGGACCCTACCTATCGACCCATCAACTCATGAACCGAGGACCAACGGCTTTACTTCCCTTCCGAAGGAAGGCGTGATCAGAGATGTTATGCCTCAAAACATCCCGCCGTGGCCGATTGGGATTAAACCCATGCCTGCTGGGGTGAGAGGTAATCACGGTTACCACTACACCACCGGCGCCGCTATTAAAAAATCTAATGTAGTTAAAGAAAAAAACCCTGAACGCTAATGAAATTACCCGAATTACTACGAAATTCACTAAACTTCTCTAAAGTTCGCTTATTTTCAACAATGTTTGAATATGTTCTGCAAAGTTTCTGAACTTATAAAAAACTAGCTGAAGTTATACAAAATTATCTAATGTTCTATGAAGTTCACTGATCTTCTACAATGTTAGCTGAATTTCTATAAAATGTGTTGCACTTCTAGAAAGATTCCTGACCTTCTACACAATTCAATGAATTTCTACGAAGTTTTCGAAAGTTCTACAATTTTTCTTGAAGATCTATGAACTTCCTTGAAATTCTACAACGTTCTTTTTACTTTCAAGACGGTCTCCGGGCTCAGGTTCTCAGAAATAAATGATGTTCTCTTAACTTTTATAACTTTTAGGAATTGCTCTTGACTTCTAAGAAGGTCTCTGAACTTCTGGGAAGATACGGTTTAATAAATCTGAAATGTTGCACATGAACACTAGGATGGGTCAAGGTTATATGGCGGATCCCAACCCCCGCGGCTCCCCACAGCTCTTTTGATTCGTATTGAGGTCCCCAGGTGATTTGGAGTTGGGAGAGCTTTAAAGTTTGTATGGGAAAATGTATGAGAAGCAGAACAATACTATTCATTTGCTTGTTAAAATTTCAAAAATAGCTCAATGTTTACCAAACATGGGACTTAGATTGAGAAAAATATACAGAACAACTTCGTCTAAGACCGCAAATTGATTCGACTGCTGTGCAAAAAGTTATTATTTTTGTAATTAAAAGTAGGTACAAAATTGCCGAATTTTAATAAAATGATCTAGCCCAAAATAAACTTTGCATGCGAATCTGGAAATATTTCGATTCAAACACACTATTTCAAGTAGCAAATTAATCTCTAGTTAAACAGATAAAAAGGTCTACCAGCGTGCTTCCGGTCCACAAAAGTCCATTTATCAGCGACTCAAGCTTTTGGCAACATATGCCAATAAATCTCGCACATTACTGCTGCATGCACGCGCTAAATTTATGATAATTTTCTATATTTAAATTTCTCTGCGGCGGTTCGGTTCACATGAAATCCTGTGCTCATAATCGACCTCCATACACACTCGAACCCTCGGGAGGAAGCAATGAACGCCAAAGGACGACCTCATCGTCACCGTTTTATGTTTGATCTGCTGCAGCAGCATCCCCATAAGCGTGCAACTTTTCGCATTAGTCGAAAATGTTGTCCTTTCACACTACTACTAAGTGGAACCGTACACACTACAATGCAGGGAGAGAGTGCCCCTCAGAACAGTTTGAAACAATGAAACGCATTCGTATGCATTGTTGGCTGGAGATTGCGGGAGACGGGGAAAAACGGGACAAGAAATTTATTTCGCTACATTAAACAATTTGGCTGTGCGGTTTGGCGAATTTTAATATAATTGTTGTTTATTGCTTTTTATGCGATTGTGCCTTTCGTGTGCCGTGTGAGAAAGCCAAGCAGCAGTTCAGGAAAGAGATAGACAATAATCTGCTGCTCCTGTTACGGTGCCAGGTCCTTGATCCGAGGCAAGTGGAGTTGTATGCAAATGTATACACATTATTTGCCAATAATTTATGTTCTCGCGTCGCCGTTTTGCTATCATCGTACAAAGTTTTGCCCTGAACAGTGGTGCAGTTGGATTTTCCGGATGACGTTCACGGTTCTGAGAAGGATATTTTGCACGCCCCTTGCTATACCGCTGTTGTGTTGCTTGTAGTTGGACATCGGGACCGATTATCATTCTGTGGGGAAACATCGCCTTCGTGGTGCTTAATAAATGTTAAACATGGTTAAATGTTTTATGCAAACGGGGCGGCGTTCACGCTGTTTTTCATTTGTTTGCGGTAGTCTGCCTGCACGCGATGCAGAGAGGGCATTTCTCTTGGCAGAACAAACTTATCAACAGTTTCCTCTAAATTTCCTGATTAAAAGAAAAAAATGATTTATTTAAATTTTCCTCATCATTCATCAGAATGCTTAATACAGTTATTCACATATTCGTTCCATCCGAGTTTACTTTATTCTCATATACTTTAGGTGTATTTCTGTTTGTATTTTTTTTTTCAAATGGCTTACACATGTGCCGTCTGTAATCTATTGAATGCTTGATGCTCGTTCCATTATATTCTCCTTCTTATTTTTTTCTCACCATCTCTTCTCACATATAGTCACTAACGAATGCCGACGAAAGAAAACTTAACACTAATAAACCACTATCACTAGTAGTATGTATAGATACTTTGCAATGTTTATAACATAAAAGAACAAACTCTCATCAGTGTTGCACTACTACAGTTGTGTGTTTCTTGGGGGAGGGGGAGGATAAGTAAGATCATGTATCTGTCGGTGTGGGTCTATGTGTGAGTGCTGTTTTTTTGTTTGTGTGTGTTCAATAGATGCGGTAGTGCTGTGATTCGGGGTGCACCCACAGCGTTCTAACCCACGGCGGACGTGATCAGTTCCGCTACGTCTGAATCCGTTGATCGCACCGTAAGGTGCATCGTTACCCCATCCGACACGGCCAGCTTTGCGCGAACCATCACATCGATTCCGCCGCGGAATAAGCCTGGAAGTATGGAAAAATTATATGAATTTAATCAATATTCAATTCAGAATTAAGTATTAGTAGTTTAAAGATAATATTCTGCATTTCAAACTGTTATTGACCCCTTTCATGCCCAAATTGTTTGTGAACAAAGTTTTCATAAGCCAGGTTAAGCAAATAGTTTGTCAACGGTGGAAAAGATACCTACACAGCAAAAAAAAATGTAATATCGATCAACTACTCGCTAGAAAGACTCATCAGGTTTACGGAATCTATGTAGGGGAAACAGCCCTATTGTTGCGGTACGTTAGCAGCGTTAGAAGCCTATTGTTGCGTATGGAGGTCTCCCCTGCTCGGGATCTATTATCGAAATGTTTTCTTAATTTGAGCCAACCATACGTTCACAATCAAGGAATGTGTTTGCAGCTGAATGATTAACGAAAGAGAAAGTCGATGAAGAGAATCGATCAAAGTCACTTACACCCCTTGCTTTCTAACCTAAATAACTTGCCTTGTCTAAACCCAGCCTAACTTTTTACCATTCTTGCATTTACCCAAAGGCGCTCCAAAGCGCTTAAGGGATTGATTTTTGATGGACACAGCTGGATCGAGCCGACGCACCAATCTACTCGAAGGTTAAGTTTTGTCTGACGCAATTAGGTGTAACATCTTTCAAGAAACGCACATATCCATTAGCAGCTTAAATTCTGCAACAACTAACAGCGTTTAGAGTCTACGGAAATGGATTCTTATCTCAGTTCAACTCAGTGGGAGCTGAATTTATAATTCATCTTATGCATCTTTATACATCATCTCAAAATCATCGAAGTAAATACTGGAAAAGTTTAGATATTTCAAAGATTATTTTAGGGGAATATAGAAAAGAAATATGATGGAATTCTAGGATGATTCAAATTGAACTAAAAAAAGGCGAAGATATCCTGTGAAGAGTTCCAAGTAAATTCAGACTTTCATTTTAGTAATATAACAAAATTATTCTTTGGCATAATGTTCATGCAAATAGTGGAGTTACCCGTAGTTTAAGTAAACTGTGCGTGAGTTCCACGATGTTAGGCTTTGATTTCCACTTCAGCCCAGTGAATTTTGCTTCAAAATAAAATTGCCTGTGTGTTGTGTGTTGTATGATGTCAATAATTAAACTGTAAATCTGATCAACCTCAGAGTAATATTAGAATTATTTAGAACTAATAAAATCTTTAAATTCTGGCACTGCATCAAATAGTAAGGACTACATCGACTATTACCCAGACAACCAGAATGCACGTATATTCAAAGTTGTTTTCCTGATGTACAAACATATATACAAACAAACAAATCGTATAGAATGCAAAGAAATGGCTTATACGTACAAAAGTGGAGGCCATATACATGCAAATTTTCATTTAATTTTAAATGGGTTGATTTAACATCATATACGATTTAATCTGTAATAACACATTCACTTTGAAAAGTCATACGATGTAATCCGATTTGATTTGTGATACAGTACGACGAAAAAATGAATCATCGCATATTGGTCGGAAATTTGCATTCTATACGATTTAACTTAATCATAATGCGATGCATGCCGTTCTTATATGCGATGTTGACTTCAACTGTAGCAATTTACGATACTGTCTGCACATTGTTATACGACTTCTGGTTGTCTGGGTAGTTCAAAAAATCCATCCCATCAAATTTCCTTGATTCGTTGCTTTTCATTCTTTTTAAAAAAAAGTTTTAACTCCATTTTTGAAATGCTGCGTAATGGATGTGTCAATACTTTTCAACTTTTGGATGATTTTAGCAATGCTAACAAGTTATTTGCTTTATATAATTTATTTAAACATGTAGGGGAAATGACGGCTTCGGCATGATAGACTATTTTCGGCAACCCAAATTGAAACGCTAGTTTCACTAGGTTTTCTTGAGATAACAGTTCGCTGAATGCATTCAAACTATTCTTTAGGCTTTCAGCTTCAATTTGATTATATTTTTACCACTGAGAAAAAACAATCAAGCAGGGTTTTCTTGAAATGAAACACACGCTCTACAAAATGCTGCTGATTTCGAGTTGCCGATGAAAGCACAAAGGTTGCCGAATAAAAAGAGGTTGCTCACAAGAGTGGCTCTCACTAGAGAAGATTGGAGCTTTGTAAAAGCGTTTCAAATTAGTTTTTGACAATTCTTTCGACTGAAATTGTTACAGCAGCTGGCAGCAAAAGATTGTAAACAAACCAATGCTGCATATGTGTGCGTTCCTTAGAGAAAAAGGCTATAGAAAGATCATCGCTGCTTAGGTTGCCGAGAATATGTAAATTCCCCTAATTTATAACCATTCTAGTACTTTAAATAAATTCCAGATGATCATACTGACCTTTTATGGAAGATTAGCACATCACTTTGATTTCAATAGCATTATGTTAAAAAGTGGATTTTTTGGAGCATTCCAGATTTTATATATATTTTTTTTTAAATGACCTGGCAACGCTGCGTGCTAGTAACAATTATCGCATGTCTAACCGTTATCTGTACAATCGCTACTGCAAACGAACTCAGGAAAATCTACGCAGACATCCACGACATTTTTGGAAATGTGTCGACTCTAAACGGAAGGAGAATGGGTTACCCGTTGAGATGTTTCTGGGCAATGAATGCAATTTGTTTGCTCATTGAAGGGCATTCAATGATTTTACGTCGTCTGCACGTCAAATCACATTAGCTTTTAGAGATACACCTAGTAGTATCTGTTCTCTGAGAAGCTTTGCGATCACGTCGAATCAGGTGGACTCCGCAATAAACAAATTGAAATACTCTGTGTCCAGTCTAGAGGACATACCGTCATGCATCCTGAAAAAAATGCGGCTAAGAGTTGATTTTCCCTCTTACGACACTTTTCAACATATCTTTACGGAAGCGTAGTTATGTCCACAAGCTAGTAAACGTCAGTCATGTTCTCCGTGTTTTAAAAAGGAGATCGACAGAACATCGAGAACTACAGAGGAATAACTTCGTTGTGTGCTTGTTCAAAGGTATTCGAAATCATAATAAATAATGTACTTTTCAACTCATGCAAAAATTACATTTCTACAGATCATAACAGTTTCTACCCTAAAAAAATCAACATCTACAAATCTCGTCCAGTTTGATTCGTTTTGCATACGAAACATTGATGCTGGTGCTAAGATTGGCAGCGCATACACTGATTTGAAATCTTGTATAAATTCTATACTATGTTTGTTTTGATTCGCTATGAAAGTTTGACGGATAAAATGAGGGGTTCGTGTATTTTCCTATGTTTCGAAGCGTGCATCGATTAGCTTGGGACCGAAGATAGTACCAGAGCTGAGCCAAAAAGTTGAGCACGTTTCTTCGGGACCTACTGGTCTTAGAGTTGCCTCCACTACTGTTTCTGCACAGAACAGAAGTGGAAGTGCAAACAAATCGGTGATTCAAAAAGTGGTTAGTTTTTCTGCTCAACAAGCGACGCGTTGCGGTAGCGTTTCACACGGGCTTCTATACGCTCTCACACTTTCATAGCATGCTGCCTATGTTAACTGCAGACAGAAGATGCCTTCTACCGCTAGATGCGCTGGTGTTCGCCAATGAAAAGTGGAGCTACTTTCTGATCCGAAGTCCCACTTCTGTTCTGTGGATTCTGGCAAACTTGCCGGTCTTCTTCATATGGGAAATGGATGTAATGTCGGCCTAAATGCCCCTAATTTGAGCCCATACATAAATTCAGCAATCCACTAAATGTTCAATAGCGACCAAAAATAGCCATTAGTACCATCTTAATGCCGCGTACAGTTAGATAAAATTGATAAATAGCATAGCCATGGGCCCAATCTTAGATCCATAGGCCTATTCTCCCTATATTTGAACATCATTTGAATAATTTTGTTTTTGTTTTATTTTGCGGGACAGAAGTAGGAGGTATTATCAACAATCAATACGAAACTAACGATTTTAAATTGGCTCACCACTTTAGTAGCCTATTGGTCCCAAGCAAACGATTAACGTACCCTATTCTAGTTGAAATTCTATTACTACACTATGTTTGTTTTGATTCGCTATGAAAGTTTGACAGATAACATCAGGGGTGTGTGGATTCATGCAGAACATGCAGGGGTGAGTGAAATAGCTTGGGACTGCTTGGGACCGTTGTTCTGGTACTGAGTGAGCCAAAAATAATAATGATTTTCTTCGGGACCCAGTGGTCTTAGAGTTACCTCTATGGTATTATCATAGAGATAACTCTAAGACTAATAGGTCGCGAAGAAACGTGCTCAACTTTTTGGCTCACCTCTGGTACAATCTTCGGTCCCAAGCTAATCGATTCACCCTTCGAAACATAGGAAAATCAACGAACCCTTCATTTTATCTGTCAAACTTTCATAGCGAATCAAAACAAACATTGTGTAGTACTAGAATTTCGACGTTAATCGATTTGCTTGGGACCAATAGGCTACACACTTAGAAAAATCCATGTAAATTTAGGTGCTCTGAGAGTGACATATACGAGCGTCAATTTTGACATAAATTTGAGTCACAACAGACGTGAAAAATTGCTCAATCAACCGTACTTTTCGTCGAGCAACGAACTTTTCAGTCTCGGAGCACTTAATATTACATGACACGTTTGTTTACGGGGCCTCATAGCCTAGTCAGCAAAGGCACGGTATTACCAAGCCGGAGGCGGCGGGTTCGATTCCCGGTCCGGTCGAGGGAATCTTTCGGATTGGAAATTTTCTCGACTTCCCTGGGCATAGAGTATCATTGTGCTTGCCACACAATATACAAATTCATGCATTGGTATTGGCATCGAAAGCTCTCAATTAATAACTGTGGAAGTGCATTTAGAACACTAAGTTGAGAGCACGCAATAAGCTAATATGCGCTAAGCAATAAGCTTGAAATGCGAATAAGAAGAAGAAGAAGACGTTTGTTTACGTCTCATCTTTTATGTGAAAGATGGATTCCGTCACGTGTAAAATTAGTTATTTCCAAGTGTGTAGTCAAGTAGTGAGCCAATTTAAAATCGTTAGTTTCCACCGGTTGGTATTATGAAGTCCGCACGGCTAACGAGACTAACTCAAAATTGGGTAGGATTTTACTAAAAATCGCAAAAACGCAGGTCACTGAGACTGATTAAATTTTGCTCGATAGTCAAAAAACTTCTTAAATATGAGGAAAATCGAGGACAATTTTAGGATGTCGACTCAATAAACAAAACAAAATTCCCTGGTATTCTCTGATTTTCCAGTAACAAAAAAAAAATCCAGGTGCAGTACCTTCCCGTTTTTGGCAACACAACCCCATCAGCTATTACTTTCATCAGATCTATGTTAGTGCTTTCTGGACATTTTTTTCATGAAATAAAGCAGAGTTCTTTTCAGAATTCTTCTAAAATAAATTTAAAATTCTCTCTGGAAGTCCCTTGAAAATTTCTTTATAACAGTCCAGAATTGATCCATAGATTATCTTCGAATTTTAAACTAGAGCTTCCATTTTCTTTAAATGCTCCTTAAAATGCCCATGTATTTCACCTCCGATTCTCAATCAACAATTGATAAGTGGCTATTAGGGGGAACTTGTCCCACCTAGAACTGTCTTCAAATTTTGCTCAGAATTATCTTGGAGTTCCCTCTAAATTCTTCTGGAAACTACATGGAATTCTTATTAAAATTCCCTAGAAATTCCATTCGAAATGCGCTTGGAATTTTCCTCGGACTTTCCTTATAGATCTTCGCAGAATTATTTTGGAATTGCAACCTCAAAATTCTCTTCCCTTGGTATTTTTCTCGCATCCTGGAATCCTTTTCCCCGTTGGGAGTTCTAGTAAAAAGTCTCCTAGAGATTTTCCTAAAGCTCCCTAGAAAATATTCTCTGAAATACCTTGGTGTATCTCTAGAATTCATTCTAAAATCTGCTCAAATTTGTTTTGGAAAAAAAATCCTACAATTCTCATAATAGTTCTTCAAAGAGACTGTATCCTGGAAATCTAGTCCAGTGCAAGGGTCAATTTTGAGACCCAGCACCGCAAGAAAACTATTCCGGATAATACACCTAACCAAAAGCTAAATCGTGGGCGGATTCCTCCCGTGGGAAATCGTAAAAACAAGTCAAGATCAAGGATTTCAAGGCAATGCTTGTCTACGTATATTGGAATCATTATTCAATCATAAAAGTGCTACTCCGAGCAATAAAAAAACCTCCTAAGCAAGACCATTATCTTAAATTCTAGTTAGTTCTCTGAGTTAATCAGGTTATTAAGAACAATAAGGAAAAATAACTAGAAGTATTCAGAAAAAAATCTTCTCTTAAACCTGGGTTCAAGTCAGTCAATTTTTTTTACTAGTTCGTTTATTGACTAGGCTCAGTCGTGTGTGACACTTTGCGGTGCCAAAAATCAGTAATGTTTGAATTTACATTTTAAACAGCAGTAGTTCTAGGTTAGCATTGGGTACCAATTCATCGGTTTCATCATAATCGGTTCTACACCTACATATATTGCTGTCAACGAGGTTTATTCTGTAGAGATGTGCGTCTAGCGAGTAGTGGTTGGACATACGTCTTGACATCACGCGAATGAAGCCCCGGCTTACTTCTAGACCTTTGAACCACGCTCTCGAAGAAACATTTGGAATAATGGAATGTAACCACCGCCCAAGAGAATTACTTGTCCAATCTTAATAGAGAACTCTGACGTACTAATGAAAAATACTCCCTGTGAAATTCTTCTATCATAAATCTCGACTTGTGCGCCCACCTTTGCGAGAGAGTCTGCCTTCTCATTGCCTGGGTTTGAGCAATGTGAGGGGACCCAAACAAAGGTAATCATATATGATCTTTCGACCAGCAAACTCATCTGCTCCCTTACCTTTGAAAGGAAATAAGATGAGTGCCTACCTTGTTTCATCGACCGAATAGCCTCGATCGAACTGAGACTATCCGAGAAGATGAAGTAATGGTCTATGGGCATATCGGAAATCATCCCCAATGCGAAGTTGATTGCTGCTAGCTCAGCAACAGAAACGGAACAAAGTTCCTGATGTTTCCGAAAGGCGGTTGAGTATTCATTGAAGACACCGAAGTCAGTGGATCCATCAATGCGTGATCCATTAGTGAAAAATCTTCTATTGCAATTGACATGTTGGTACTTTTCAAGGCAAGTCAATTGAATTCAACTGATTTGAACGTGAATTGAACGTGTAAACCATGCCATTCAACTGACTTGATCAACTCACTCGGATTGAAAGAAGTTGCAACAGGCTCAACTCTTCAAGCCAATTGAATTCAACTCCGTTGGGGTTAGAAGGAAAGGGGTGTAAGTGACTTTGATCGAGTCTCTTCATCGACTTTCTGTTTTGATAGCCACAGCTTTATACACAGATTTTGCGCTATTTCTGCCATAAAGTTTGATAAAGGAGGTTCTCATCTAGCATCCAGAATGGCACACCAATCAAGGAATGTGTTTGCAGCTGAATGATTAACGAAAGAGAAAGTCGATGAAGAGAATCGATCAAAGTCACTTACACCCCTTGCTTTCTAACCTAAATAACTTGCCTTGTCTAAAGCCAGCCTAACTTTTTACCATTCTTGCATTTACCCAAAGGCGCTCCAAAGCGCTTAAGGGATTGATTTTTGATGGACACAGCTGGATCGAGCCGACGCACCAATCTACTCGAAGGTTAAGTTTTGTCTGACGCAATTAGGTGTAACATCTTTCAAGAAACGCACATATCCATTAGCAGCTTAAATTCTGCAACAACTAACAGCGTTTAGAGTCTACGGAAATGGATTCTTATCTCAGTTCAACTCAGTGGGAGCTGAATTTATAATTCATCTTATGCATCTTTATACATCATCTCAAAATCATCGAAATACCCTTTTATGTATTTGAGTAACATTTGCTAAACTTGCAAAAAATGCAAATCAAGCATTGAGCAACCAAAAGTTTGCAACTTTATTTAAAATTTGAAATGAAAAACCATCCACAAACTACACTGAGTAATTAAGTTATTTGAAACTAGCGAAGTCAGTCAGTCATATTTATTAATAAGTTTCTGTTATAAAGAAATATTTCCCTGAATTTGAATTCAATTCCTTGAAATTTTCTGATTTTTCAGGTTCAAAAATGAATTCCCTGATATTCCCAGATTTTCCAGGTTTTACAGGTAGTCGACACCCTGTCAGTGCATCTATTATGATGAAAAGAAAATATTGATTTAAAAACAAAATTAACCGTCGAAACAGCGACTATCCCCGTCTACAGCATTGACTTGCTTTTCTATAAGTATTATTTAACTGAAAATTGTCAAGAGCTTTGAATGTGTTGGTTTATTTCCTTTAAATTCCGTTATAATTGCTTATCTTTTGACAGATAAGAGTTTTTCATCTACTATTTATTTGCAGTCTTCATCAGTGCCAAGTACTCAACACCACTTGAGTACTTGGCACTGATGAAGTCTGCAAGTAGTAGACGAAATACGCATATCTGTCAAAATATAAGTAATTATAACGGAATTTAAAGGAAATAAACCAACCCACTCAAAGCTCTTCATAAAGGGATTCCGTTAAGAGGTTCGACACATTTAAAGGATTGAAAATTGTCTCAGTTTTAGTGAGATTTCAGTTTAATATCTTTCAGTTAGCAAACCGTTCATTATACTAAAAAACGATCGGTCGCTAATAGTTTTAAAAAATCTGGCTAAATCGCTAACCCTTGAGGTTCTGCACACAGAAATTTAAGATCCAAGATTAACATTAGATTCTGAGACTTCAGTTGACTACACATTTCATAATCCTGGTCTTAGAAAGCTTTTTCAAGATTATGGGCCTAGATTCAAAATTCTAAGAGAAATATTGGACATACCGGACTTGCCTAGTTTTGTTGACGCAAAATTCGCGAAAGGGATCTGTTAGGCAGTACACTGCCGCTATTCGCATGGGCCTGTTAAGCGATTATAATCAGTATACATGTAGTTAGTTAGTTATATCATGTTGAGAAAACGGTTCTCGTCCAACCCACAAAATCCAAACCAACTCCAACAGAAGCCGTGTATAGTTTATCATCCTGTATCGGAACAGACACTCACCTGAACACAGCAGGTGATGCGTGTGGGCACCGTCGGCCACCTTCGCCGATAGGTTGTCAGGGGCAAGACCAAGGAATTTCAGAATCGTATTCACCGCTTCCTGTAAACTGTTGACGGTCGACAGCACAAAGGTATCCTCTACTTCGACCCATTCTGCGAGAAGAAATTTTACTCTTATTATACTCTTTGCTCATCTGCAAACCACGAAAGTCAAACCAACCTTCGGTATCTGCACTGTCCCAGGCGGCGTTGAAATTCTGCATCTTGACCTTTTGAATCTGATCCGCCACGGTAATTTCGATATCCTCCAGCATGTACTCATCGTCGTAGCCTTCGTCCGAATCCGGCAGTCCCGTAGACGGATCGCAATCCTTCACGACGAACCTCAGCGTAGCACCGAATGCAGCTGTAATTAAATCGAAAATGATGATGAAGACATTTTGCTTGCTGTGCTAAAGAACTTATTACCTATCGAATTGGGCAATTCCGGCGGGAATTCAACGATAACGTAGGTGGATTCTTTCTCGCCGTAGGGGAGCTTAGTGCACGGAATGACTGCTCGGGTGACAAAGCCATCCGGCAGGACCAAATCGACACGGACGTTTTCCAGCAGCTGATCCGAGAGGGTGTTGACGCAGTCGAACTTGGATGAAAATGAATGTTCAGTACTTTGTTCAAGCGTTAGGTAAGTTAAATTAGTTTACCTGGAAAACAACGTGATGGTCGAAGCAGTGCTTGATACAGGAAACTGTATATTCCGTTTCGCTTTCTGTGAGCTGTACCGGAGCAGATGACTTGTGAAGGGTACCGAGTCGGTGGATTCCGGGAATTTGCAGCAGTTTCTCGGTGTTGGCCTCTTCGCGAGTAATGCGAGGGATTTTCGGGATAGCTGGAATTTAAATTCGAAGCACGTTAATGAGGTTTTTCAAATCAGGAAAACAAGCTTACCATTGTTCATAATCATCACTTCGTCAGTAACCTCCGGCTGTACGGTTTGCGATTTCGGTACAATGGAAATGTCGAACTTCTCCGTCAGAGAGCCATTCAGGTGTTCTCTTAGCGATTTCTCCAACAGCGGTATCGACACAATTCCATTGTCCGTTATGTAGGACTTGTTCAACTCGGGATTGTTCTTGTTCAAAATGGTATAATAGTAGGTGGCTCGATCACGAACCTCGTCGTCCGAATCCATTTGGCAGCGATGTAGCAGTACCAGAACATTCGGCAGCAAATCCGGACAGGAAGCGCCAAACTGGGCAATGGCAGCGACAGCGGCGGCCCGAACGGTGGCGTTCTCCAGGATGACTCGGTTGTAGATGAATCGAATGTAGCGGGAGGGCAGCTTTGAGTAGGGACCTTCCTTGCCCAACAGATGTAGGATGCGGACAGCCAGCGATGTGTGCTCGCAGTCTTCGATAAATTCGCACAGGTGCGATAGGCCAGATTCTTTAGCTTCCGGATTTTCTTCGAGGATCAGAATGATCGTATCGACGATGGAGGTTTTGTACTCGAGGCCTCCTTCTTCCCGGAGCATTCCACTAAGGAAGTTCATCATCACACCATGCTTGCGAGGGAACTTGGAACAGAGGGCCCGGATAGCTTGAACCACAACCACCTTAAACTCGTCGGAAATTTCCGCCACAAATGTGGCGATTTGTTTCATCAGCCGTTCAACTGAACTTTCAGCTCCGGTTTTGAGCAGAGTCGTGATGGCCAAGGTGGCAACCGAGCGATTAGAATCGGCGATCAGGCCTTCCAAATCAAGATTGCACACGTTGACTGCCGGTGGATGAAGCATAGCGACCTTGTTCATTGTCCTCACGGCAGCAAATCTCAGTGTAGCCTTCGAAGATCCACAGAACAGCTGAAGGATGCTGACCGCGGTGGACAGTTCCCGAGGATTGGTTCTCTTCAGGTTGACGAAAGCGTGGGCTGCCTCGTAGACGACCATTTCGCTCTTATTTCTCAAGCAACATTCTACAAAATCGAACAACGGCGACTCGGCACTTGAATTACCCGCTGCATCTTCATCCTCGATAATTTTGCATGCAATTCTGATCAGGAAACAGACGGCATAAGGACTCTTCAGATTCTGTTTAGTCAGCTTGTTCACCAGCTTAGTCACGGCCAGTCTATCCGCTTTCCTGATATGGAACAGCAATCCCAATCCATGGTACTGCACCATGATGTTGTCACTGTTCAATGCTTCTTGCGCTTCGTTCGCCCACCGTTTCACCACGTCTCCTGCCGTGCTGGCCAAATGCAGTGCACTGACCAATGCTCCACTGGATACCGGAGCGTTCCGATCAACGATGCACTGTTTCATGTACCGCTCCACAGCCTGCAGCATCGTATTATCGGTAATACTGCACAAAGCCCGGATCGCCGGAGCACGGTACAAGTCTTCCTTGCCCGTCATATCCTTGGTCAACGAGCTGGTCACGATAATCACATCTTCGGCGATGGGACTCAGCTCCTTGATACCCAAATAGACCATCCGACGCATGATGACATCCTTGGATTGGAACAACTTGGTCATGGCAAAGAAGCATTCCGTTGCTTCGCGGGAACCCAATTGTTCGCCCTAAAAAGCACCAAACATTAAACATTTTCACTAAACCCATAAAAGTTCCCCCCCTTTCCCATACTCACCTGATTGATCAGATACAGAATCTTCGTCAGGATGTGGGTGCATTTGCGTGCATTGACCGGAGTTTCGTTGAACATCCGCGTCTCCTGCAGCACGGAAGTTTTCTCCAGATTCGAGAAGGGGTTGTTACCACCTGCAAAAATAACAAAAGATTTAACACGAAAACATTCCCTGTCCACCACCCAAATCCATCACTCTGTCGGATGTGGGTATGTTATCATCATCATCATCACACACTTACCTTCCTCCTCTTCCTTTTTGTCTCTCTTGAAAGAGCTCATTTTTACCGCTTTCCCAGGTCAAATTTTACCGTCCACTGTCCAGTTGCGACCGTGAGGAATCGTCCGCGCTAGCTTTCAACGCAATTTACGACGGATATGGACCGAAAATTGCACAAAATATCCGACGGGAATGTCCGGCCGAAAATTTTCACCACGTCACAACGATTGATGTATCTGCTGCGCTGCTGCGTTCGTTCGCGAGAGAAGATGAAAGCGTTTTGACAGCTCTGTGCGAAATAGGGTGAGCAGTCGAATGTTTCTTCTTGAGCTGAGACCGAGGGAATGGTCCGTGTTGGACAGTGTGAATGAATATAATTATTGCGGTAAAATTCCAGCTTTCCAGGCTCGTTCGCAATGCTGTTGTATTTTTTAAGGACTGTTTCAATTTGAAACTAGAACAGAAACGCATCTCTCGCAATGCTGAGTTGCAGTTTCATTATTCGAGCACTATTTTGCACCAGATTTGCAACTGCTCGACTATTCTGTTTTATTTCTGAGCGAGTTTGAAACACGAATGGAACTCTGCTTAAAATTTCTTTTGATGTGTTTAAAGATGTTTCGAACAGCTTCACAAACAAAAAACATAGAACTTCATAGAGAACAGTAAAGTTTATGGAACTTGATTATTACAAACATCGTTTAGAACTATGCGTTGCGCTGATCGTGTTGCAGTTTTATTTTTGACAGTTTCAAATTATAGAATTCAGTGCCAACATTTCAAAGGGGCGTAATTGCTTTTCGGTCCCAAGCTAATCGATTCGCCCCTCGAAACTAAGGAGAATCCACTAACCCCTCATTTTATCTGTCAAACTTTCATAGCGAATCAAAACAAACATAGTGTAGTACTGGAATTTATCCTAGAATGGGGTACGTTACTCGATTTGCTTGGGACCAATAGGCTAGTCAAGTAGTGAGCCAATTTTAAATCGTTAGTTTCGTATTGATTGTTGCTAATATTACCGCTACTATTATCAAATTAACCACTTCATTCGAGCAGTTAAAATGACGTTTAATACCACTCGAACTATGAAATAAAACATCATTTTGAGATTTTTTTCTTCTAGAGCCTCGAGAAAAGTAGCCAACATTTGTGCGTTTCATAACAAATATAAATTAGTTGATCCCAAGGCGTTGGTCACTCTACACAGTGTGCCAAAATCAAACTTGGGCACCCCCGGGCGTCGTAATTGACGCTGTTTGGCACCCATGGTTACAATTTTTATGATCTTTAAAGTTACTGGCAACACTGAACTTTTTCTGCGCTTCAGTGTGCATGTGTCAAAATTTGTTATTGATGTTGCAACACACGCTAACTTGAAAGTACTCATTAATGAGTAAAAAAAGACCAATTTTGAAGAAAAGTGGCGTAACTCATAAATGATTAAACAATTTTACCCATGAATGAGTATCTGTTACCCATTAATGATTAACAATTATTCATAATTGGTAACAGATACTCATTAATGGGTAAAAAATTTACTCATTTAATGAATTAAGCCACTTTTCTTCAAAATGGGTCTTTTTCAACCATTAATGGGTACTTTCAAGTTAGCGTGCAATGTAATCAAATTATTTTCAAAACAACCGTGAATCTTCAGCAAGTCTCGCCATGGATTCTCAAAATCGTTACACCCGTGACGGCAGTCGCATCCACATTTCCTCCCAGACGAAGAACAGATGACAGCGGTATCTTGACCTGACCGAGGTTTCCGGCCATGGCTACACGAACTAGCGATGCAGCTCTCACGGCTGCGGCTGCTTCCAATTCTGCTGCTGGTCTGTCTTTTTTTAATGAATTTTAGAGGAGACGGTGTTCCTGCCGGTGTTGGTTTCCAGTTCTCCAACGGATGATACTCGGGCGGTGACAAATTCGGTGCAAATCGTGCAAATCCTCCGCCGGCTCCCAGAAGGACTGGTTGACTAATGATTGACGCTCGTTGTGCGGGGTCGGCCTACCGCCGAAGATGGATGTTTTTGAAAACATTGAAAATCAAAACAAAAACAAGAGCTGTTAAAATACCGGGTTGCCAAACAAGGCATTATTCACAAGCAAACAAAAGTCAGTTCAATGACTTCTTCTACTTCATGGCACTGCCGATACAGCTGTGGCACACTGAGGTACACTGAGAAAAATGTTGGCGCAAAATAAGTGTGTAGAGTGGCCACCCCTTGGTTGATCCACTTTTGTGAAATCGCTGGTAGAAATTCACGCCAAAACTGCTTGACAAAGCGGTCAATTACACCAAAAATCAGCCAGTAAAGCCGTTACTGTCGTGGTACTCAGTACGGAAAACACGATTTTTTTTCTTTTGGTTTGTTTCCGTCGATCCGGTGGTAAGCTACAACAGGTATTATCCTCGGACTAAATCCCGATCAAGAATGTCCACACGGAAAAACGAGTCTATGCATTAATGACTTTTTTTAAACCACTTTTAGAAGTTGTTCGAGCTGTCATAAAGTGGTTAAAATTTATAGCAGGAAAGTGTATACACTGAAACAAAGACCATAGTTAGGAATACTATTTTGCAGAAAACACTTATTTTCAGTATAACTACGCTTAATGCCGTTTAATCTACCATGATTTCAGTATAATTGACTAAAAATATAATCAAATTTACTACCATTCTGTCAAAACTACTATGCTTACTCAAACGGCATAGTAGTTTTGATAGAAAAAATAGTAAAATTAAATGAATTTCGTTTCTGCACAAATCTATTGGTGGGAGTATTTAATTTAAACCATCAATATAGTATTTTTGCCAATGGATTTTGTTTCTGTGTACAATTTAGACATTTTCTGAGAAAACGATTCTTCAACAGAAGTGTCTTAATTTTATTCACTAGTGGCTGAAAAAAAAACTTGTCAAATTATTTTCTGCAAGCATGGCGGCTATCATTGACAAACTTCGTCGCAGATTAGTTCAAGGGTAATATGCATGTAGTAATTATAGAGAAATAATATTAATAAACAATTTAGAATTATAATTTTCTTTCTATTTTCAGCATTTTCATGGTGCGGTAGCCCACCAACAACAATTATAAACGTAAGCATTTCCCTTTTGTTTTGTATTTTACTATGTAGATAATGAAAATGTCTCAATCAGCAGTTCATCAGTTCCTTACGAACAAGTACAGGCCGTGCCGGCGATTGACACCAAGAACTACATCGAGTACACGAAGAATACGAAGTTTATCGGTTGGTTCCGGAGATGCTCCACTGTCAATCAATCGACTTGTAGGACCGGAAGATGATGGCGGAAGGTAAGATGGTAGGTATATCTATAGATTGTTCAAGTCCTTTACATAATCCAACCTCTTCCACAGCAGCCCGCAGACGCCTCCGGAATCACACAACCAACAACACAGGCTAACAGCAATCCGACGTGACCAACATCCGATATGGCCAACCCTAATAAAAAATAACCATAAACGAACGATAACCCAAATCATTGAACTATTCCACAAATGGTTTGGATGATACCCAGAACACGTCGTTAAGCAAATTAACCATACAATTTTTATTAGGGAACATCTTGTCGGCATTCATGACATCGGATGTAATAATTATTAATTTATTTTTTTATTTTTTATCAGTTTAAGATATTGAAAATAAAAGAAAAACATACAAAACATTCCAGTGTATAAGTACTAACCACTTTCGAGAAAAACGTCTTTATTCATTAATGATTAAAATATAACCACTACACTGAAACAAAAACCATAGTTAGGAATACTATTTTGCAGAAAACACTTATTTTCAGTATAACTACGCTTAATGCCGTTAAATCTACCATGATTTAAGTATAGTTGAATAAAAATATAATCAAATTTACTACCATTCTGTCAAAACTACTATGCTTACTCAAACGGCATAGTAGTTTTGATAGAAAAAATAGTAAAATTAAATGAATTTCGTTTCTGCACAAATCTATTGGTGGGAGTATTTATTTTAAACCATCAATATAGTATTTTTGCCAATGGATTTTGTTTCTGTGTACCAAGAAAAACGCGTTTATTCATCCGATGAGTAAACAACGTTTATTCATTTTATGAATATGTGCGGGTTTTCGAAACTGGTTAATTTTTAAACATTAATGCATACCTTTTTCTTAGCGTGCAGCCACTTTGATGTCAACATCAGATTTAATCAGCACGTCTCTACACGCTAACTTGAAAGTACTCATTAATGAGTAAAAAAAGACCCATTTTGAAGAAAAGTGGCTTAACTCATTAATGATTAAACAATTTTACCCATTAATGAGTATCTGTTACCCATTAATGATTAACAATTACTCATTAATGGGTAACAGATACTCATTAATGGGTAAAAAATTTACTCATTTAATGAGTTAAGCCACTTTTCTTCAAAATGGGTCTTTTTCAACCATTAATGGGTACTTTCAAGTTAGCGTGTAAGCAAACATTTTGCAGATCATCCAAACAGAGACGGGGTTCAAAGTTAATCCGAGTTGGAGACTACCGTCACTAGTTATGCCCGATTTTTATTCAAATAATTGATTAATTAAATTACGAACCCTAATAAAATTTGTACGATTATTTTGCTTAACGACGTGTTAAGGGTATCATCAAAACCATATGTGGAATAGTTCAATCATTTGCGTTATCGTTTGGGTATGGTATTTTTTTTTATTAGGGAACTGAAAAATATGTTTTTTCTTGATTTGTTTTTCCGTCGATCTTGTTTTCCCAGCGGCACCACCGGCGTGTGGTAAGCGTGATAACCTCTAACCCCACCAGGAGTGGGTTCAATCCGAGGGGGACGACTCTATCTACGATGCAGAAAAGATTGTGTTTTGCTGTGGCTAGCTGTGCGCACGCTGAGTAGATAAAAAGAAGATTTATGAGGATTCTGAAGATTTACTGCAAAAAGATGATTCGCGATGCAAGTAGATGCGAGAAATGAAAGAAGATTTTTCGAAGAATGATTCGCTAGTGTGAGATTTGTTGAGCATCTAGACTTGAGATTTAGATGTGTCGCCCCCCTCGGTTCAATCCCAGTCGGTGCCTCAGGGATGTTCTGAGGCATAACATCTCTGATCACGCCTTCCTTCGAAAGGGAAGTAAAGCCGTTGGTCCCCGGTTCATGAGTTGTCAAATCATTGCAACACAGAAACAACCATCAAGATAGCGCTATAACGATAGAGGTAACTCAACCAGAAGATCCCGAAGAATCGTGCTCAACTTTTGGCTCA